CTCTTCCACCTCGTCGTCGTTCGTTGTCGTCCTGTAACCAAGGCGGACATGATTTGAAAGAAGACAGACCCTGGCCCCCCCGCCCGTGGAGAGAAAAAGACAAACGGAAGTCGAGCGCAGAAAAATCACTATACCCTACCTGCATTTAGATTTCTGAACCGAAATTGGTTATTGACAGCGGCACCAAGAAACGAAGCCTGCCTGTCAGCGACCAGAACAGAAGCTTGCTCGCTGCTGGCTGCTTGAGGTGACGTGGGGAAGAACCACGCCCACTATACATACATTCATACCTTACCTGACCATACCCTGCCTCGCCTACCTACATTACCGACCTGCCGGCCTGTCCTACCACTGAACAGTTCGCTCCAGAGGGGGGAAAGAAGAAAAAAAAAATTACTACACCCAAATCCAGAGACGAAGGTCGCAGCCAAAACCGCACTGAGCGCATCCGCGACCGCAACCGCACCTAAACCTTCCGGTCGCACAACAACGAGGGGAGGTCCTGCTAAGTTGGGCCGTCTCAGTTCCCCCCAAATTTTCATATGTACGGCAGCACAGCGACCGACATCTCCTCCTTCACCATTGCGTCTCCCTCGACAGCAATGAATCCTTCTTCGACAGAACACGACTTCCGCTTTCCGCGAAGGCCCTTCGACTCCGCGGCCGGGTCCGACGAGGCGGATCGCTCAGCGTCGGCTTATACTGGAATCAGCGGTTCGAATCCCGCGACTGACAGCAGCCCCGGCGACCTGCGGTTACAGGAGCTCAATCTGGACCTCTCCAGCAACAGCGACTCCACGCACCGTGACCTGCTCGACTCCTCTGTATTTCCCAACTGGCCAGGCAGCGCCGCCGCCTCGAAGAAGGAGAGCCTCGATCAGATGCAGCAGGACGACCCTCTGGCAACACAGATTTGGCGATTCTTTAGCAAGACCAAGCAGAGCCTACCCAGCCAGGAGCGCATGGAAAATCTCACCTGGCGCATGATGCACATGAAATTGCGACAGCAGCAGCAGAGGGAGGCCGAGGAGAGGGCAAGGGAAATGGCTCGGTATGTCTACTACTACTTTCCAATTTCCCCCCGTAAGCAGTCCGCTGCGAGAACTCGCCAAGATTAATCGTTACGTGCAGACAAAAGGCCCTGAAAGAAGGCGCTGCGGGCATGAAGGCCCCCAGCGGTATTGCGCAGTTGAGACAAAACTCGGATCAGAACATTGCCCAGTCGGATCCAATGAATCTCGATGACTTCATTTTTAGTGAGAATATATCTACTCCGGCGGGCTTGCCAGTTGACCCTGCCTCTCCGGAGCTGCTCAAGCTGCCCGAGGACAAGGCAGCTCATGCGACAGCTGCCGCCATCCCCATCAAATCCCGCAAGGTCTCGCCCCAGCAGCACTTTGTTCCGCAGTCCGTCCCTGTGCCTCCACACCGCGGGCATGAGGACGAATTCGGCTATCTCAATCGCCATCACCGGAAAACAAGTATAGATGATCGACGCGTAAGTACACCTACATGCCGCACCGTCCCCTTGCTATCTCTAGCTATCTAACCCCCCAAAACTGTCCCGTCCCAATCCCATCAAGCCCTGCACTTGTACCCTGCATATCTCGAGCTACCGTTGCACTGCACTGCGATGCTATTTCAATACTCGACCGCCACCTCTGCACCACGGGCCGCCTTGACAAATTGACTAATCTCTTCATCCAGACTCGCAACCTCAAGCGCCCTGCCGAGTTCTCTCCTCAGGTTGGCAATCTAGCTTCAAATGACATAGACGTGGATGCCGATGTCCATGAATATTCTCTGGATCAATCGCACACATCCGGCGTTGCCAACGCCTCTCATAACCCCTTCTCCCTGGACAACTTCCAGATGGAGCATGATCCCATCATCACCTCAGCAGGGCCCTTCCAGCAGAACTTTTCCTTCTCGCCCTCCACCTCACCAATGGTGACCCATAATTCTTTCCAGAACATGTATGGTAACCACGGCCTGGGTCAGAACTCCATGAACACTCATGACTTCTACTCCCCGCCTGCATCCAACTACCAGTCCACCGCGACCACGCCACACCCCATTCCCGAAAACGACAACATGTTTTTCGGTTCCTTGGACATGCGACACCAGAACCAGCAGCAGTTCCACCAGGGACAGGGCCACAATGGCAACAACATGATGCAGCAATTCATGTACCAAGGAAATGGCAACATGTTTCCCCAGAGCTCCAACGCTCCAGATGCATCGTCTTCTTTTGCCCCGTCCAATAACTTTGGCCACGTAGACCCGACGCAGGTTTTCCAGGAAGACCAGGCTCGCTCACCTACTTCGGGCATGCTGGAGCAGAACATGTTCAGTTTCGGTGCCGAATCAGACAACGAAGAGGAGGGTGGCTCATTTCCAGATCGCAATATGGGCATGCATCCTGCCTTTTCACCCTCCATGGAAGAATCGGGCATGGATATGAACAACTCCGGTACTCTTGGCTGGGACGCTTCGCTACCGGGACAGTTCAGTACCCAGGCTGCGCGTTATCCCGGCGGCCCTCCCCGCAAGCAAGTCACCATTGGGGGCGCCACTACTGATTACGTTGACGCCAACGGCGAATGGGATAGCCAGAGCAGTCTGCCGCGGTCCCAGTCCTTCAGGGCAGGAGACAGGCGGGCCAAGATCCCGCGAAATGCTTCCACTTCTGGTCTCAGCTCCGCGAGCCGCAGCAACCTGTTCGAGAGGTTGGCACACTCCAACCCCAACTCACCCCCGGGAGACTCGGCTGGAAATGCTTCCGGCTTTTCGTCGGTGACTCCCAGTCGGCCTTCTTCGCCGCTCGGTTCAAAACAGGGCTCGACGACGAACCTCCAAGGTGCGGCGGGCAACCAAGCCGACGGCAATGCCCCGACGACATGCACGAACTGCTTCACGCAGACCACTCCACTGTGGCGCCGCAACCCGGAGGGACAGCCCCTTTGCAATGCTTGTGGCCTGTTCCTCAAGCTACACGGTGTCGTTAGGCCGCTCAGTTTGAAGACTGACGTTATCAAGAAGCGCAACCGTGGATCCGGAGCAAACCTTCCTGTCGGCGGCACAAGTACTCGATCGAAGAAGGGCACAGCCTCCGGACCGGCTTCGCGCAAGAACTCGACCTTGGGCATCTCTGTCACCAACAGCACCCCTCAACAGGCGACTACTCCGCCAGCGACTGTCCGGGCTGGTAGCGCTAATGAAGGCGAAAGCCCGGCAAGCGGTGGTGCTGGCGCGTCCGGTGGTAACACTGCTGGCAGCACGCCCACAAGCTATGCCGGGTCTGCCAGTGGAGCAGTCGGCGGCAAGGGAGTTATACCTATCGCTGCTGCTCCTCCCAAGAACACGCCCGGCCCGGGAGCAGCATCGATGACACGCAATGTCGGCACTTCGGGCTCCTCGAAGAGACAACGACGAAGCAGCAAGAGCGCAGGCACTAATGAGTCCGCTGGAGGCATGGACATCGACAGCCCGGCAAACTCGACTGGCTCCAACGAGGCCGCACGATCGGTCAGCTCTGCGAGTGGCTTCATGAGCGGAATGCCTAATCCCGGCAACGTGGCCTTGACCAACGGATTTGGCATGACGCAGCGCCCCATGATGCCCCCGGGTATGATGGGAATGCCCGGAGTTCCACAAAACGGCATGATGACGCCTGGCGCTGGCGCTGGCCCTCAGGAATGGGAATGGCTCACCATGAGTCTATAAGCATTCCAGCTGCCCTGCGCGCTGCCTCATGATCTATAATTACGGCCGGCCGTTACGCTGAGAAAGCCTATATGGCGCTTCTGTTCTGGGCTATGACATGGCTTCGATTGTGTTAACAACATACTATTACTTCAACGACTGACACGGGATGAAATCACGAATATATCCGGCGGCCTCAGGCTGCATTGTGGGAAGGGTGGCACTTGTGCTTTTTGTCTGGTGTTATAATGATTTTTTGGGAAGGCACACTGTAGACGGGATTTTGATACCAATCTTGCTTGTAGAGGGGAGCGATTTGCACATGTGGATAGGATGATGGGACATTATCTGCTTTTTACTGTCGATCTGTGTCTTTCTAGGTATCGACAGGCTTTGGTCGATCGTGATACAGAGCCGGCGAGTTCTTATCAGAGATACCCTTACTGCGCCTTCATTTAAATATCGCAGAACAAACAATTTGAAGATGTTTCTACGTGACACAGCGCCTTTGACTTGAAAGTGATGTTTAGCGAGCCAGATGCTTCTTAAATGACAAGTGACCAGACGAGGACTTTTTGTGGCTCTCTCATGATTCTTGACAAGTTCACTCAGATATCAAGTTTCATAATACGGACTTCTCGAACCGGCATTGGAAGCATCTTGTTCTGTTCCATTCGTGTTCATCGCCTTGCCTATATGCCAAGCCTGGTCTCTATCTGTTTTCCACAGTCCAAAACCTTGCAGGGTGAGAAGAGCTGTATGTTGAGCAAGAAGCGACAAGCCACTACATCCTTAGCGACGTAAACCAATGAATAGCTGCTCCTCTGGGCCAAGAGATCGAATAAGTCCTCTGGCATAAACCTAATTGCTGTTAGCTGTACTGTTCGGTGTACCAGCTTGTATGAAGTGAACAAGATGGGCAGCAAAGACGACGACAGCTCGGCCCCATAGAACGAGGATTCGACGGGTAACCGCAGCAAAGAAGAGGAACCACGGTCCGTACCTATATCCGATCTATCTATTCAATCTACTGAAGTTATCGACCTGTTTCCGACCCATTCGAGCTCGTCTTGTCTCGGGAGGTGGCAAATGCAGGGCTCGGGAGGGGCGTTTGCGCCTGCCTCCCCATGCGTTTGCAGCGCCATGTTGAGGAAGCCTCATTGAGGAGAGGCTTCCTCAACAAGGACAGAGACCACTTGTCCGTCTGATCTCCTGCAGCACCATTCTCGACTTGATATTTGGTTTTATTGCACATCCCCTCAACATCAAGGAACAGTGAGACGGCTGGCTCAGTGGTCGCTCTAGAGAAATGGTTAACTCACCCGCCTCCTAAGCGGGAGATTCTCGGTTCGAGTCCGGGGAGTGATGATTCTTTTTTTTTTTCACTTTTTCTTTTTCTCTCCCTCCTCCATTGTGCTTTCCTTTCTTCCTTACTCTTTCCCTTCCATCAGCTTCCACCTGCTTCTTTCCATTTGTCTGTGCAAATGAAACTTTCAATCCAAGCTCGCCACAACAAATGGGCCGAAGCACCATCCAATCTACCTTGTCGTCATTATCTCGGCCTTGTCATGTTCACATTTTCATACAATCAAGAAGTCATGACCAAGGTTCTTGAGCTGGATGAGCCAGTTCCTGTCCGTCACATCTGTCGCGTTCAACTCATCCCGAAACTGCCAGATCTCTGTCAGAGTGTCCATGGCTGACTTCATCATACCCCATGGACACTCCTCCCACATCAAAGTCAATCGATTGAGTATCCAGGTCCTGCTCTCGGGCGTCGCCGCCTCGACTCCGACCATAAACACAGGCCAGGTGGTGTACTTGAAGAGCGGATACCAGTAGGGGATCACGGAGAGGTGCCCATGTATCGTCGCTGCAAGGTCCTTAGTTGTGGGAATAGTCGGAAGACTCGAGCTACTCTCAGGTTTGATCAGGGCCCTGGCTCTGACGTGCTCTTCCAGTCCCGGTGCGGAGAGCAAGACGTAGAGGGACACGGCGGCCTGGTACGCAGAGGCAATAGCCGTGCGCATGCTGATCTCCATTTCGTCGACGGCCCGGATGTGGGCGTTGGCCGTGGATATTCTTATGGCCCACGCAGCGGGCGCGAACGCTTGTGCCTCGGCCAGGAACTCGAGAAACGTGTCCATCTCGGCGGCTGTCGGCGTGGCATGCTCGTTGGTGCTCACGTGGTGCGCCAAGCGCGAGATGCGCAGAATTAGGAGCAGAAACTGGGCTGGACAGCTGTGATAACTGTTGGCCTCGGTCCTGTCGATGATGTGCCGGATCTCGTCGGCCTTGATGACGTTGGTCGCGCTGGGTACGCCCGCGGCCGAGTTGGACAGCGAGTCCAGCGTGGTTCCCCAGATGTAATAGGCGACCGAGTCCGAAGCCACGTAATCGCGTATGCCGATGGAATTGCACGTGTATCGGAGGGACTGCAGGCTCTGCAGCGTGGAGTTGGTGTCGAGGTGCATATTTGGTATCACCAGAGCCGATGACTCGCTCACGTCGTCCGTGTCGTCGATATCCATGGCATGTGCCGCAGGCTCCAGCTGCCTCGGCATGAGAGCAAAGTTGGACGCCTGGGCCTCGATCAACTTGCGCGCCGCCTTCATGTGAGACCTCCAGCCGCCCTTTCCCGAGTCAATGAGGGCAAAGTTGATGAAGAAGAGCACGGTGGCCAGCAGGGCCTCCTTCTCGTCCAGGTGTCTCGTGTCGTATTTATCCTTCTGGAGGACCATCTGCAGTCCCTTGATGGCGTCGCCTCTCGCCCGCAGAGCATCGACGAGGGCATCCACCGATGCCTTGGAGGCGTTGGCCCGCCGCATGATGTTTGCATAATGCATGGCAGACGAGGCCACGAGTATGTTCTGTAGGTAGGGGTAAGACGTGGACATGGCAATAAGCTGCCGGAAGGGATTTCCCTGCAGCTTGAGAGAATCATGAGTAACCAATTCTTGGCAGATTCTCTTCGAGACTATATCATGGTTGGCATGAACATCGATCATATCAAAATGGGTAAGTACACTGAGCACGATGATGACTTACAGTAATTGAGATAGAACCTCGCCGTCTTATTCATGTGGTGGAATAGTGGATCCACGAGTCCTATAACCATACTCGTATCCACGGCCATGGTAGCGGGAGTGGGTGGACCGCCATGCTGGCCTCGTCGCATGAGAGCCCTGCTAGTATTGCGAGGTCCATTGGCAGTCGTGTCATTATCCGTGGTATTGAAGGTAGCCTTCCCAGCCAAGCGGCCGCGAGAAGCAACGGCATTCGTCCACTGGTAGATCTTGTCGTACCCGAGACAGTCTTGCCCTGTTGTGTTGCACTTGTTACAGCTGGGCAGCGAGCGGTCGCACCGGAGCCGACGCCGACGACAGTTGTGGCAGCTTTTGGTGGCCATGGACCGTCACCGGGCCGCTTGGCTTGGGAACCGGGAGTGCGGACAGCGGAGCGAACCTCATGCAAGGATCCGAATATACTTGATTAGTTGATCAATGGTATGTGGGCGTTTAACCAAAGTCCGCACAGTCGGCTACTAGGTAAGCGAATACAGGCATTAGGGTAACTTCCCTCGGCAATGTCTCAGTCGGCGTTGAGCTCTCGAGTGTTTGGCCAAAGTGTTCAGAGATTTGTCAGGAGAGATGTAGAAGTTGAAGCTTGGCTTCCTATATCAGCCAAGAACGATTAACAAGGCAGAAATCGGAAAGGACTCGGAAGGGCGTCACCTCTCCGGGGTCTCCATCCACCTTGTAGTCCGCGTCTCAAGCCGAGATCTGGTCCGGGCGGGAATGAGTCGATCAATGAGAAGTATGACATACTCTTCTAGCGTCCCCGTGGGTTAGGTAATAGCCTCCAGCCTCCGGGTCGTCATGTCAAACGGGCCATTCCCTAATTGGAAGCCAAGACGCAACTGCTGCATGCTTTTATACTGGGTCCGTCGCATTCCCAGAGGTCGGACTCGGAACCCTGCCGCCGCTTGCGCCCTACGCCATGTCAACGTATGGGAATAGAGGACCAGTCACCACGTTGACAAACGAGCCGCACTCCTATCCCCTTGCCTGTCTAGGCTCTCCCGGCTTCTAGATGATGACTGAAGCAGCGGTAGAAGAAAATAATGGAACCATGTGTCATTCCCGGACTCTAGAGTGGCAATGGCCGCAGTGTTTTCAGTCCGGGGTCTCAGCCCAGATCGCCCAACGGTCGGCAAACACAGATTCGGCTTTCCTTCTTTTGGGCAGAGTCTCGCACGTCGTGCATATCTAGACTGTTGGACACGCAGTTTGTCAAAGTCAAAGCGGATCTTGTCAATTTTCCACACTTCATCCACTTTTTTCCCTTTCCCCAGTCGCCATTATTACCAATCCCTTCCCCTCCAGCGGTCTGGATCGACCATACAATACTAGTATAATAAGACACGGCCGGCTCACAGCGTGAGTGAATAGCTTGCTCATCATGGAAGGCTCGCCAGTACACAGATATCTAACTCGGACCTACCACCACCAACCTGTCTTGCTTGGCTACACCTGATAGCCGCGCATATCCATCACCATGGCATCAATGCTGGTACACGCACAGAGTGCTACAGCTCAGCCGGAAAGCGGACCCTACGATGGCAGCGACTCGCCCGAGACTCTAACCAAGGCCAACATCGAGCGCCTGGGAAGAGAGCGCCCGGCTGCATTTACGAAGTGGACTTCCGAGGTCACCTTCGTCTTCACCATCATCGTGTCCATGATGATGAGCGAGTACTTTGTCAGCGGATTCAACATCGTGTTGCCCACCATCGCCAGCGAGATCGAAATCCCCGACTCCCAGCGGACCTGGCCCGCCGAGGTCATTAATTTGACGACAGCGGCACTTCTGTTACCCTTTGCTCGGCTGTGCGACCGCCACGGTGGACGTTCCATCTTCTTGCTCGGCCACGCCTGGCTCACCATCTGGTCCCTTGTTGCCGGCTTCAGCCAGAACCCGACAATGCTGATCGTGTGTCGCGCCATGCAAGGACTCGGCTCGAGCGCATACCTGCCCGCCGGTATATCCCTCCTCGGCACCCTGTATCGCCCGGGACCGCGAAAGAACCTCGTCTTCAGCTCCTACGGCGCCATGGCCTGCGTAGGCTTCTATATCGGCATCTTCCTCGGTGCAGTCGCCGGCCAGCTGCTCACCTGGCGCTGGTTCTTTTATATCGGCACCATCATGGTCGCCGTCAACACCGTCATCGCCTTTCTGGCCATCCCGCGGCACCTGGGCGATGGCGATGCCGGCGTCCGCATGGACTGGTGGGGCGTGGCCACCATCGTGCCGGGCGTTTCCCTCGTCGTTTACGCCCTGACCGATGGCACCCACGCGCCGAGCGGCTGGAAGACCCCGTACATCATCGTCACCTTTGTCCTCGGCGTTCTACTCTTGTGCGCTGCCGTCTACGTTGAAGGCTGGGTCTCGGCACAACCGCTTTTGCCTCCCGAACTGTTCCGCCCCAAGTACATGAGACGCCTTACCATGTCCATGTTCTGCTCGTACGGCACTTTTGGCTTGTTCCTGTTCTATGCCAGTTACCAGTAAGTCATGAAACTTTGTGCTCTCGTTGTCAACGCAACTAACGTACTTGCTAGACTCCAGACCGTCCTCAACACGACGCCCCTCCAGACAGCCGCATGGTTCACGCCGTTGGCAGTCGGCGGAATGTTCCTCGCCGTCGCCGGCGGACTACTCCTGCACCTTTTGCCCGGCCGCATATTGCTCATCATCTCGGGCATCGGATACATGATCTCGGTCCTGCTCTTCGCCGTCATGCCGGCGCAGTCCGACGACGGACAGCCCTCGCTGTCTTTCCTGTACTGGGCCTACGTCTTCCCGGCCATGCTGTGCGGCACCATCGGCGTCGACATTCTGTACAACGTCACCAACATCTTCATCACCACGGCCATGCCGGCCCGCCTCCAGGCGACGGCCGGGGCCCTGATCAATAGCCTCCTGTACCTGGGCATGGCCTTTTGGCTCGGTATAGGCGAGCTGGCCGTCTCGACGACGGTCGAGTACCGCGGCGGCGAGGATAGCGTGAGCTTGCGGGAGCAGTACCAGGTCGGCTTCTGGCTTGGCGTGGGACTGGCCGGCCTGGCGCTGATACTCAATGCCACGATCAACCTGGGCGAGGCGGCGGCCGAGATGACAGCCGACGAAAAGGAGCAGGCGAGACTGGAACAGAGTCAGCAGGTTTCTTCTTAGATTTGATTCTCTTGCTGCGAATGCTAGCTTTATATTTTGGTGTTATTTGATTTTTGGGAACAAGGAGCTATATACCCATAGACTGAAGGACTGATTGCATATTATAACTGTAACCATAATTACTGATTATTTAC